TTTTTTTTTTTTTTTTTTTTTTTTTTTTTGCTGTTGTTTTGACTTTATTTTTTTAACCACTTTTTTTTCTATTTCATTCTCTAAAAACTATATTCTTCTTCTTCTTCATCCTTGTTAATTGGAAGGTTTTTTAAGGCTGGTTTCAAATACAGAGAACACACAACAGTTCCAATTAATATAAAGAAATATGATGCACACGAGACAGTAATACCTAAAAACAGAACAACTGCGAAAAGCACCGGTAGAAAACAAGAAGAAGAATGGTCTTTGCTCTAACGAAGCAAACATAGAGAAACGATAACAAAAAAAGCTTTTTCAGTGTATAATTTTTTTTTATTAGCTCTGTTAAGCACAAAAACTTCTCTGGTATTTTATATGTTTTAGTGTTTTTTTTTTAATGTGGTTAAAGATAGCGGCTAACTGACAAAATTTAGAGCGTGAAACAAATTAGAAAATTTCAGAAAATGAAAAAACATTTTTAATTTTTTTCAGTTTTTAATGTGCCTAATTGGCAAAAACCTTCTCTGCTTAGTCATGATAAAACAGATAGCATTGCTTCTTTTCAGAATTCTACTGAACAGCGACCCTTAATGTTATGTGCAGTAGTAAAAACTGTAGAAGAAATACGAATTATTCAAAGCATCTACCGTATACACAGATTTATAGATCTCTCGCTAAATAATTTTTATTGTCATTATTTTGACTACTGTGCTAACTGCATTCTTTTATGGGCTGTTGTTGCCATTCTCCCTCCTACGGACTCCATCACAGTTCGTTGAATTACCCCACTTACATTTCCGAGAAGCGCATTATATTTCTCATGAAGATGTAAAAGAGTGTAAGAAATTTTTTCAAGTTGTATTTACATATGCTTGTTCCTCGAATGCAAACTACAGCAACATCTTCGTTTTAGTGAATGTAGTTAAAGGAATGGTATTGTACTGAAGTTATAGAATCAATAGCTGCAATTTTTTAATCCGCAAAAAGTGGAATAAACTTGCAAACACAAAAGAACCTGAAAGAAACGTGATGAAACAGAAACGACCGGTGGAATCAGTGAGCTAAACTGAGGTTTGCTGTAAGACTTATATGCTTTAAATTGATAAGTAAGGGCATTTCAGAAATACTGTTCTGCAGTGTTTGCTAGCTTTAAGTCAACCTACTATGACTGTCAATGTTGAAAAAATTGAATGGCGCAATCAGCATTAATAACGGGACCAATGGGGAACGTCTGATAAATGAATAACTTGATCTATAAGATGTCAAAAAAAAAAAAAAAAAGGGA